TGTTTACTCAAACTAGCAGCCTCATTTTGATTTTCTTCAGTCATAATAATCCAACTGTTGTTCTCTCAGGTCCCCTGCAGATTTTATACAGTCTATATGACTGAGGTAATAAAATCATTATTTAAAAGCTGTATAATTTAGAACCTATAAAATATCTTCAAATGTGCTGCTCCATTTTTTGTGAAAAAATTCAGAATAGTGTATACTAAAATAAAAACATTCCAAAAGAAGGTAGTGAAGGAAAGCAAGAAAAAAGGACTAAGTATCAATTGCAAGAAGACAGAATGTTTGATTTTGGTATCTTCAATTTCTAATTTGTATTTTGAACTGTTCCTTTTGCTAACAATCATGCATTCTGTCTTCTTGGATTGTTAGCCAAAGGAACAGTTCCAAATACAAATTAAAAATTGAAGATACCAAAATCAAAGAAGCTCAACAATTTAAATATTTGGGAAGTGTTTTAACAGTGGATGAAAAGTGCAACTCCAAAAACCAAAGGCATGTTGGGATAGTGAAAGATATCTTCTAAGCCCAGTATTAAGAAATAGGGCAATTTCATTAGAAACAAAGAAAAAAGTACTGTTATGTAATATCAATCCTCCTATATAGCAGTGAATGCTGGACAAACTCCTCACAGATGAACAAGAAAATTAAAGCAATAGAAATGTGGTTCCACAGAAGGATAATGTGAATGCCATGCACCAAATATGTGTGCAACAAAGTTTTAGAGAAATTAAAGCAAAAGGAACTCTTATACTTAATATCAGGAGAAGATATTTGAAATTTCTAGGGCACAATGAAAAGAAAGAGGGCTTATAAATAATACAAGACAAATTGAAGGTAAAAGAGACAGTAAAGTAATGAACAACCAACATGATGAACTTGAGTGAATTGATAGCAGAGCAAGTTTTGGTGGAGATATGAAAAAGACAGTAGTTGTTAGAAACTATGAAAGACAGGAAATTGAAGAAAAGGAAGAAGAAGAAGAAGAAGAAGAAATAAGGAGAAAAATGAAGAAGAAAAAGAAATAAGGAGAAAAATGAAGAAGAAGAAATAAGGAGAAAAAGGAAGAAGGAAGAAGAAGGAAGAAAGATGAAGAAGAATAAGGAAATACGAAAAAGAAAGAAAAAGAAAGAAGAAAAGAAAGGAAAAGAAGAAGAAGAAGGAAGAAGAAAAAGAAATAAAGAGAAAAAGAAAGAAGAAGAAAAAAGAACAAGGAAGAACAAGGAAGAAAGATGAAGAAGAAGGATGAAGAAGAAGAATAAGGAAATACGAAAAAGAAAGAAGAAAAAGAAAGAAAAAAAGAAAGAAGAAGAATGAAAAAGAAGGAAGAAAGATGAAGAAGAAGAAGAAAAAGAAGAATAAAGACATACGAAGAAGAAAAAGATTACAGAAGTGGGTGCATGAAGCTAGACAAAATTAAAATCAGTTGTTGTAATATAAGTTGTGGCTGTCGAAGTGAGCACTTCCATTTGATTAAAGAATTGGAGTTCTGACAGGCTGTTATGAGTAATCAAGAGTGGTCTCCGTTTGTTTTGTTACTCCCCTCTTTGAGAGAGCTATTTCTGTTTACTGGGACTATAAAAGGACACTATATGCAAACATTGTATTCTCAGTTGAATAAAGCTTTCTTAAAGCCTACACCTGTGTACTTTTGTCATTACACAGACCATGACAAATACAAGGCCCAAGAGCCATTCAAGGTTGAGGGTTAATGAAGAGGTAAAGATTGTAGTGTTCAGAAAGCATCCATCTGTTCTGTAAAGTGGAGGTTCTAGGGTAAACATGTCAAGATGGAATATGTAGGGAATGAATGTTATTCAACCCTGTGGAGGAAGCAAGGTGGGTTTTAATAGCACTAAAGAATGGAACTTGTTGGAAAATTTGCTATGGATATATCAATAGATTAGCAATAGACTTGCGACTTTGTACCTGTAGGAATGTGGCTGTAGGGTTCAAAATAAATCATCCCCAACAAGGCCACATAAATGGTTTTGAACTATGTCAAGGTTGAAAAGTAAGCATTAGCTAGTTCCGGCCCAGATATAGCAGCAGTACTCCAGTTTTAGCTTGATTTCTTTCTTGTAAATCTAAAGGACATCAAATGGAGGGGAGTACTTTCTGAAATGGGAAAACAAGCTAACCATTTTTCAAAGATCTTTAGCGAGGAATCATATATATGAGTTACACTTGATGTCTGAGGAGAGCTTGTGTCCCAATAGATGTTCAAGACAAGGAACCTCCTTGAGAGAACACCCATACATCATGATAGGTGAAATTTTTGGGTCTGCTCAGTGGTGGTGGCACTTGATTAGTTTTAGATGTGTTGATTTTTATAAGCCAGTTCTTCCAACAATGCCACATAAATGTTTTTGAACCCTGTCCAGATGGACCAGTGCAAGGGTCTCATGCCCCCACCCCCACCCCTGAATCTATGATACTACCCAATGGGCCCTCTATTCTACTACATCTCAATTTTCATAAGGTACTACACATATAAATTTTTTATTGTAACCTAAAGATGTACAATAGTGGATCATCTCACTTATTATAAACCCCAGGTTGTGTGTATGTGTGTGTGTTTGTGTGTGTCTGTACGTTTATATATTGGATCAGATTTCCTACATTTTTCAACCAATTTCAACAAAACTTCACAGGACTACATAAAATTATGTTGCGGTGGTTCTGACAGTGCCAAAAATTGGAAAAACACAATTGTTTTTGCACAAAAATCAATTTGAAAACATGATTAAGAGGCATCACGAGAATGAAAGAGGGACAACTCATATCGAGTTATACTTTATTATAAAACTCAGGTTGTTTTTTGTGTGTGTGTGTGTGTGTGTGTGTGTGTGTGTGTGTTCATTTATATATGGGATCGGATTTCCTACACAACTCAATTTCAAATAAAACTTCACAGGACTACATAAAATTATGTTATGGTGGTTCTGACAGTGCCAAAATTGAAAAACACAATTGTTTTTGCACAAAATCAATTTGAAAAACATGATTAAGAGGCATCACGAGAATGAAAGAGGGACAACTCATATCGAGTTATACTTATTATAAAACTCAGGTTGTTTGTTTGTGTGTGTGTGTGTGTGTGTGTGTGTGTGTGTGTGTGTGTGTTCATTTATATATGGGATCGGATTTCCTACATTTTTCAACCGATTTCAACAAAACTTCACTTTTTTATTGGCAGGTAGTGTTTCTTATTGTCTTGCCCACTTTTATCTTTATTTTTACATTCAGAATGCTTTTAAAAATTCCATTTACAAGACAATTGTTTATAATAAAATTCTATTCAATTGGTAGACTCCTAACGATTGAAAACAATGTTTTTGTTTGAGTTTGGGTTTGAACAATTCGTAAAAAAAAAAAAAAAAAACTAAACAAAACAAAAAAAAAATTAATTAAGACATGCGTGTCCGTCAACGTTAAGCAATAATCTTTGTAATTTTATTTTTCAGTCTTTATGATGGTCGATACTTGATCTATCTTTTACTGTTATATCCCCGGGCAATGCCAGGCTCTACTGCTAGTATGGAATATAGTTGAACAATTCAACTAAAAAAATTGAAAATAAATGCACTGTATCTTGATACAAATTAGAGATATGTTATAATAGATCATTACATCTTAAATAAATCAATGTCTTGTGGCAATTTTTAATATCAACTTGAATTTTAACACATTCAACATTATGGATAAAAAGTAATGAATTTTACATAGTGTTTTTTGGGACTTAGTATGTGTAAAAACAAATTCACAGATTTGGACAAAAAAAATGCAGAATGACATTAAAATAATCTTCAAAAATTCTTTGTCTTTTAATACTCAGTTGTACTGAGTTTAATATTTTTTTACATATATAAATATAGATAGAAAAATCCACATTTTGATAAGATAGTGATGGTCACAAACCACTGCCTGAGATCACCAATTAGGCATGCTTTCACTAGTCAGTGGTAGAATAAGTTGACTATTTTTCCAGAATCTTTAGCAATAGATCATATATATGAGTTGTCTATTCTGGAAAAATAGTCAACTTATTCTACCACTCCAGAAAATATATGACTCCACCAAGAGTTAGATCAAACCTAAACTCCAGTACTGTTGCCATATCTGGGCTGGAAACTGCCTAATCTTTACTTTCCAACTTTGACAGCAGGCCTGGTGCATATTATCTCTTTGGATTCATATATAGAAGTCTGGAGTGAACTTGAGTGCCAACAGATGTTCAAAACAAGGAATCTCTTTGAGAGTAGAATTGTTTAATATGACTAGAGTAAATTCAGGATCTGGGATGATGAAAGGTTTCTAGGTTGGTTTTGGAATTATGACTATTAGCTGTTAAGTGGTCTTCAAAAATATCTGTGGAAAGTTCTGTGTGAATCAACAGATAAAAATGACTAAAAATTCACCCCAAAATATGAAAAAATATAATCAAAATGAATCAAAATAAAACTAAAACTAACATTAAAAATACAACCAAATAAGGACAACAAAACAAAAATTATTCTAATACAAGAACAAGTATTAGTAATTGAAATAGAAATATCACTGATAGTGTCTAATCGAGTTATAGCAATTTTATTTGCTGCTGAGAGACATGACAGTAATCTTGGGTACAGCACTTGTAATTGTAGAAGATTAGTGATTGCAATGAAAATGTTTAAAATCTTTAATCAATAACATTTGCAGTTATCAGAATTTATGGAAAGAAAAATAAGTTGAAACTCCAACGAATAATATCAATGAGGTGAAAAATAGTTGGGAAATAAAAGAATAAATATTCCAAAGAAAATTAAAGGAAGAAAACACAGAACAAGAAGGAACTCGTCGATGATGATTTAAGTAAAAGAAAGTAGAGAAAAGAAATAAGGCTAAAGAAGAAAATAAAAAAGAAGATATTCATGAAGAAGAAGAAGAGGGAAAGTTACAATAAGGATTTGAGAAAGAAGAAAAGAGAAAGAAAGATAAAAAAAGAAAAGAATGAATCAAAGAATGAAGCAAAGAATGAATGAAAAATCAAAAAAGAAGGTGATAAAAAGGAGGAGAAGGAATGTGAAAGAAATGAAGAAGAAGAAGAAGAAAATCAACATTGATGATTTAAGAAATAAAAACAAGAAAAAAGGAAATAAGGCTAAAGAAGAGAATAAAAAATGAAGATATCCCTGAAAAGAAGAAGATCAAGAAGGAGAACAAGAAGAAGAACAAGAAAAAGTTACAATGAGGATTTCAGAAAGTAGAAAAAGAAGAAAAAAGAAAGAATTTAAAAGAAGGAAAAAGAATAAATGTAGGAACAAAAGACTAAGAAGAGAAGGAATGTGAATGAAATGAAGAAGGAGAAGGAGAAGAAGAAGAAAATCAACAATGATAATTTAAGCAAAAAGAAGAAGAAAAAAGAGATAAGGCTAAAGAAGAGAGTAAAAAAGAAGAGACCCAGAAGAAAAAGAAGAAAAAGCAGAAATAAATAAAATGGAGGCAAAGGAATATGAATAAAATGAAGAAGAAAAGATGAGAGAAGAAAAATGCTATGATAGTAATTACGAAATAAATGAATAAAAAATATTAAAGTAAGAAGAAGGAAAAAAAGATGAAGAATGATATGAAATTGAAGGAAAGTAGACAAAAAAAGGATCTAGAGAATAAATTAGGAAAAAGATAAATGAAAATAGAAAAAGATGAATGAAAACAGAAAAGAAGAAAAAGGATAAATTGGAATAAAATGAAGTGGGATATTTTATACACAAAATTTTACACAATAAAGGCAAGGAGCCACTCAAGGTAGAGTGTTACTGTATGGCTTTGTTTTATGGACATAATTAAGATTGAAATGTTCAAGGAAGCATCCTGTCATGAATCTATTCTACAAAATAGAGAGCTTTGGGAAGAAGATGTCCAAATAGAAAGTTCTTCTAAATAAGGTGAAAAAGAGTGGATATGATTTATCTTATCCATATGGTATACTGAATCTTAGATGTGAAGGTCTGAACTGATGGAAATATAGAATAGTACTTTTTAGAATATTTTCTATGGGGAAAAGTAACAGAGCAACATTTCATCTGTAGGAAGAGATGGAGAATAATTCCTCATGTACAAGATTGTGTAAATGCTCCTGAAATTTGTTGAGGCAGCATAAGAAGGAAAGAAAAGAACAGGTGAAGGAACAACATTAAATGGAGAAGAAGAAATGAAGGAAAGGAAAGAAAGATGAAAGAAAGAAAACAAAAAAGAAGAAAATACAAACCTAGAAAGTAAGTGAGTTGAAAGAGAGGAAAGAATAAATTAATGATGAGGGAATATAATCTGAAAGTAGAAAAAATTTTGAATATGATATTAATAAAATAGAGTATGAGGATGAAGAAAATGAGAAAAAATAAAAGAAAGGATGACAAAGTTGAATTGTAAAAGAATGAAAAAAAATAAGGATGAAGAAAAGTAAAAGAATTCTAGTAAAAAAAATAAAAGGATTGTTAAACAAAAAAAAAGGACAAATAAAAAAAGAAGAAAAATCAGAGGAAAATGAAAAGAAGAAATAGAAAGAATGAACAATGAAAAATGCTCAAAAAGAAAAATATAGCAAATGAAAAGAATGAAATGAAGGAAAATGAAGAATATAGGAAAATGAAGAAGATGAAGGAAAATGCCTCAAGAAAGAAGAAATGAAGATGAAGGAAAATGCTCAAAAAAAGGAAAATAGAAAAATGAAGAATATGTAGAATGAAGATGAAGGAAAATGCTCAAGAAAGAAGAAATATAAGCAAATGAAGAATACGTAGAAAGAAGATGAAGAAAATGCTCAAAAAAGAAGAAATATTGAAATGAAGGAAGATGAAGGAAAATGCTCAAAAAGAAGATTGAATGAAAATGTAGAATGAAGATGAAAAAAGAAGAAAGAAGAAATATTGCAAGGAAAATGAAGAATACTCAGGAGAGAAATATTGAAAAAGATGAAGGAAAATCCTCAAGAAAGAAGAAGAAATATAGAATGAAATGAAGAAAATGCTCAAGAAAGAAGAAATATAGGAAAATGAAGATGACGTAGAAAATGCTCAAAAAGAAGAAATATAGGAAAATGAAGAATACGTAGAATGAAGATGAAGGAAAATCCTCAAGAAAGAAGAAATATAGGAAATGAAGAATACGTAGAATGAAGATGAAAGAAAATCCTCAAGAAAGAAGAAATATAGGAAAATGAAGAATACGTAGAATGAAGATGAAGGAAAATCCTCAAGAAAGAAGAAATATAGGAAATGAAGAATACATAGAATGAAGATGAAAGAAAATGCTCAAAAAAGAAGAAATATTGCAAATAAAGAATATGTAGAAAAAAGAATGAAAATGTCAAAAAGAAGAAGAAGGAAAATGAAGAATAATGAAGATCAAAAAGTAGAAAAAGAAAATATTGCAAATAAAGAATATGTAGAATGAAGATAAAGGAAAATGCTCAAGAAAAAGAAAAAGAAGAAATGAAGGAAAACTCAAGAAAAAGAAAAAAAGAAAATACATAGAATGAAGATAAAAGAAAATGCTCAAGAGAGAAGAAGAAAAATAGAATGAAAATGAAGAATATGTGAAGTATAGAATGAAGATGAAAGAAAATGCTCAAAAAAGAAGAAATATTGTAAATAAAGAATATGTAGAATGAAGATGAAGAATAATGCTCAAAAAAGTAGAAATATTGCAAATAAAGAATATGTAGAATGAAGATGAAGGAAAATGCTCAAAAAGAAGAAATACTGCAAATAAAGAATAATATAGGAAAAGAATGAAGATGAAGGAAAATGCCAAGAGAAAGAAGAAATGAAGAAGGAAATGAAGAGGAAAACGGAGAATGAAGATTAAGCAAAATGCTCAAGAAAGAAGAAATAATGCTCAAAATATATATATTGTAAAGAATGAAGATGAAGGAAATTGCTCAAAAAAGAAGAAATGAAGAATTGCAAATGAAAATAGGAAATGAAGAATGAAGATGAAGGAAAATGCTCAAGAAAAAGATGGCAAAATATATATGTAAATGAAGAAAGAATATCAAAAAGAAGTAGAATGAAGATGAAGGAAAATGCTCAAAAAAGAAGAAATATTGCAAATTAAGAATATGTAGAATGAAGATGAAGGAAAATGCTCAAGAAAGAAGAAATGTAGGAAAATAAAGAATATGTAGAATGAAGATGAAGGAAAATTTCTTAAGAAAGAAAAAATATAGGAAAATAAAGAATACGTAGAATGAAGATGAAGGAAAAATACTCAAGAAAAAGGAAATATTGCAAATAAAGACTACGTAGAATGAAGATGAAGGAAAATGATCAAAAAAGAATAAATATAGGAAATGAAGAATACATAGATTGAAGATGAAGGAAAATGCTCAAGAAAGAAGATATATAGGAAAATGAAGAATACGTAGAATGAAGATGTTGGGAAATGCTCATGAAAAAAGAAATATTACAAATAAAGATTACGTAGAATGAAGATGAAGGAAAATGCTCAAAAAAGATGAAATATTGCAAATGAAGAATATGTAGAATGAAGATGGAGGAAAATGCTCAAAAAAGAAGAAATATAGGAAATGAAGAATACGTAGAATGAAGGTGAAGGAAAATATTCAAGAAAGAAGAAATATAGGAAAATGAAGAATACGTATAATGAAGATGAAGGAAAATGCTCAAAAAAGAAGAAATATTGCAAATAAAGAATACGTAAAATGAAGATGAAAGAAAATGCTCAAGAAAGAAGAAATATAGCAAATGAAGAATACGTAGAATGAAGATGATGGAAAATGCTCAAGAAAGAAGAAATATAAGAAAATGAAGAATATGTTGAATGAAGATGAAGGAAAATGCTCAAAAAAAAGAAATATTGCAAATGAAGAATATATATGGTGAAAATATAAGAAAATACTCAAAAAAAGAAGAAATGGTTGCAAAATATGAACTAACAATGAAGTGAAGTAGATAAAATTAAGTTGGTATGAAGAAATATGCTGTAGTTGTGAAAGATGAAATATGCAACAATGATTAAGGAAATTAGAAAAAATATAGAAAATTTCTAAAATCATAAGTGAGATATGAAAGATAATATAAAGATGAAGTAAAATGCAAACTAATTTTTTATTTTGCTAAATGTTCACCATGGCTCAAGAGCTACTCAAGGTAGATGTTTACTGAATTAGTTCATTGTCTCAACATAAATTTTGAGTATATGGATATATAGCATAGATGGCAGTTGACCCCCTGACTCAAAATGATTAGGATTGTGGTTGTCAGGAAAACATCCTCTTGGGAGTCTGTTCCACAAAGTACTGCTTTTCAGATAAATTGGAGGACATCAAAAAATGAGGTAAAAATATAGAATGTAGAACAAAATAAGAAAAAACAGAAGTAAAAAAAAAATACAAAATAAAAAAAGAAATTTGACAAAAATATACAAGCAGGCTTCAATCGAATGAAAAATAATATAAGACAAAGACTTTAAGAAATGACATACAGGTGAAAAGGAAAGAATAATAAATGAATAAACATCATGATGATGATGATGATGATGATGATGGTGATGGTGATGATGATGATGATGATGATGATGATTCTTCTTCATTCAATCTGTCCTGTGAGTATCAAATTTTCCAAGTCGTATTTCCTCCTTAAATACCTTGCTTTTCATATATTTTTTACATTTATTCTTTTTATCTTGTTTGTATTTGCTTTCTTCTTTTACTTCTTATATTATTAGTCACGCCATTTTTTAAAAATGGTTTTTATCATCTCCATCTTGAAAATTTCTTTTACCTTCAGTTTTTCTTAACTTTTTTTTCTTTTCTTATTATTTTTCTTCTTTTTAATATTGATTCCTTCTGGCCTGTGTTTCATTTTTCATTTCTTTCTCTTAAATTTCTTTTTATTTTGTTAAATCCTGTTTTAAAAAAATGTAAGGCAAAAAAGTGAAAAATGAAATACAAGCCAGAAGGAATCAATATTAACATGAAGGAAAATCATAAGAAAAGAATAAAAGAAAAAAATTCATGAAAAAAAAGTTCAAGATAAAGACAATAAAAACTCTTTTGAAAAAAGGCTTGACTAATAACATAAGAAGTAAAAGAAGAAAGTATACATAGACAAAAAAAAAGTTAAATGAAAAAAAATTATGAAAAGCTTATCTAAACTAAACAAAAACTATAAGGAATTATGCAAAAATACTTCCGACTTTTCCAATTCCTAATCTGTCTTCCACTTCTACAAATTCTAAATTTTACTATTTATAGAAAGAATAAAACTCTTGGAACAAACAATAATAGTAATAATAAATAATTACTTACATCTTCCATGAGTATTTACATATCAGTTGTTTTTCTTTGATCTGGAAAAGAAATTCAGTTTTTTATCCATAAATGTGAAAGGCAATAAAAACCATCTAAAAGACATGTCTTGCTTCTTAATTCTTCTCTGTATTTTGAACATTAATAAAAACTTTATGTGGACTATATAAAATATGAGTTTATCTTTTATTTTTTTTTTGAAAAATAACTAAATGTATATCCAAGATCTTCATATCATTTGTTAGATTAGTAGGAGAGGAAGCGCCTTAACAAATATACAGCATGAATAAATATGATTATATTAGCTGTTGCCTTCCCTCCCAAGGTCAATATTCTGAGAGGTCTCTTCTGATAACATAAGTGTTCATAGTTGGGATAAGAATGATCTTGGAAAAAAAATCAACATCAAGTGTTCCAAGAAATGGCACTCATGATAAACCTTTCCAAAACATAAATTACGATCTGAAACTGGAATGAAAGCAATGATGGCACCTAACCTGAATCTATCATAAAAATGAAAATATCATCTATGAAGTGTTCCAAGACATGGCATTCAAGATAAACCTTTCCAAAACATAAATTATGATCTGGAACTGGAATGAAAGCAATGATGGCACCTACCCTGAATCCATCATAAAAATGAAAACATCCTCTATCAAGTGTTCCAAAAAATGGGACTCAAGATAAACCTTTCCAAAACATAAATTATGATCTGGAACTGGAATGAAAGCAATGATGGCACCTATCCTGAATCTATCATAAAAATGAAAATATCATCTATGAAGTGTTCCAAGACATGGCATTCAAGATAAACCTTTCTAAAACATAAATTATGATCTGGAACTGGAATGAAAGCAATGATGGCACCTATCCTGAATCTATCATAAAAATGAATACATCCTCTATCAAGTGTTCCAAGAAATGGCACTCATGTTAAACCTTTCCAAAACCTAAATTATGATCTGGAACTGGAATGAAAGCAATGATGGCACCTACCCTGAATCCATCATAAAAATGAAAACATCCTCTATCAAGTGTTCCAATAAATGGGACTCAAGATAAACCTTTCCAAAACATAAATTATGATCTGGAACTGGAATGAAAGCAATGATGGCACCTATCCTGAATCTATCATAAAAATGAAAATATCATCTATGAAGTGTTCCAAGACATGGCATTCAAGATAAACCTTTCCAAAACATAAATTATGATCTGGAACTGGAATGAAAGCAATGATGGCACCTATCCTGAATCTATCATAAAAATGAAAATATCATCTATGAAGTGTTCCAAGAAATGGCATTCAAGATAAACCTTTCCAAAACATAAATTATGATCTGGAACTGGAATGAAAGCAATGATGGCACCTACCCTGAATCCATCATAAAAATGAATACATCCTCTATCAAGTGTTCCAAGAAATGGGACTCAAGATAAACATTTCCAGAACATAAATTATGATCTGGAACTGGAATGAAAGCAATGATGGCATCTATCCTGAATCCATTATAAAAATACAGGATATGGAATTAATAAATACTAAACACCTCAGATGACTTGGCATATGGATCAGATGGAATAAATATATGATATTGAACATAAATTGTTTATGCCTGAGATAGTTTTGAACAAAACAACAAATTACGACAAGCCTGAAAAAGAAATATAGAAAGAAGCTGGTACAAGGGTAAAAGGAATGAAAATGTGATGATTCAATGCATCCTTAGCCTAGGGAGGACTATATCAGTCAGTTATGTGCCATGCGTGATACATGCTTACGTGATCATGTATCTTTCCATACATGACTGTCAAGGCAGATTTTTTCCTGCAGTAGGTTGCCATTTCTTTCTGCAGTAGACCAGTTGCCATCCAAGGCTATAGAACCCTGTCTGATGGAATAAAGGGAGAAGAAATATTTGAAGTGCATCTAATGGATTTGACTGGAATTCAAATTCGGCTCTCTGATTCCTCAATCCGAGCCGCTATATGCAAACATTTCTGACCACATCAGGAATATGACAAAGAGGAAATGAGAGGCCAAGTCTCTTTGGAGATTATGGCCTGCACATATACAAACAGATGTGATGAGAAGGGCACTGTCTATTTAAGCCTTCTGCACTGCAACCAAAATAAGTCTACCAATAGAAGACAATGATCCTTTTTTCTCTCCTGGGGCCAATGTACTGATGATAAAAACTATCCCAATGACTATGTTAGTTGTTTGTTTCCCTTCTGAGGCCAATGTTCTGATAGGGCTATGCTGATGACATAGGTATTCATAATTGGGATAAGAATGATCTTGAATAGAAATTCAGCATCCTTTACCAAGCATTCCAAGAAATGGGACTCAAGATAAACCTTTCTAAAACAGAAACTATAATGTGGAATTGGAATGAAAGCAGGAATGGGCAAAAAAAGGATAAGAAATGAACATAAAAGAGTGGCAAAATCACTGATCTTGTTTCCCTCTTTCTTTTCTATAAATATTTTCGTAGCAACTTCTCTGACAGAAGAAAGGACTAAACCTCAATTATAAGAAAATGGATGTCATAAAAGGTTTAAAAAAAGACAAAATTTATTAAGAGCTACAAAGGACAGGAAATTGTGGAGAGCCATGAATGCCAACGTCCTGAAGTGACAGAGCACACAGAATATTCTTCAGATTCAGACTGGCATTATTGGCATCCTCTATCAAGTCATCCAAGAAATGGGACACAAGATTAATCTTTCCAAAAGAGAAATTATGATCTTTAATTGAAATGGAAGTAGTGTTTGTATATACCCGGAATTCATCATAAAAATTCACAATATAAAATAAATAAAATCAAATGAGGAAAGAGGGCTTGGAAAATCTGATATGCACAGGAGAGTTTGAGAGCAAAAAAGACAGAGAAAAACAGTGCAGAACCTACTAAGTGAGCTTGAATAACAAGGTTTAAGAGAAATAACAAAATTATAAAATTTATTAAGAGCTACAAAGGACAGGAAATTGTGGAGAGTCATGAATGCCAATATCCTGAAACAACAGGGCACAAGGAATATTCTTCAGATTCAGATTGCCATTATCAGAATCCTCTATCAAGTGATCCAAGAAATGGGACTCAAGATAAACCTTTCTAAAACAGAAACTATGGTTTGGAATTTGAATCAGCTTCCTTCCTAACCGTTTGTTTAAAATAGTGTGGAATGTAAGTATCATAATTATGACATTATTGTCTCTTCAAGTTATATGTGCTCTCTATTTAATAGTTGAAAATCTTCAAGTGATGGGGTTTCTGTTGATATGATCATTTGTTTGTGATTCTATAGTGCCAGTCAATGAGATTCAAAGAAGGATGGTCCGCCCTCTGACGTGCAAGCTTCATATCACTGGAAGCCATTTTTAATCATTGATCTTAGAAAGCAGTTGCATGCAACTGACAGTTTAGATATTTCTGAATGAATTCAGCATGAAGCATGATATCCATATTAAAGTATTGATCTGACAAAGCTAGTTAAGTATATGACTTGAGGTTATAGATTAATATTTGGGTTTTGTAACAACTTCTGGTGCAGTGTGAGACTATGCCTAGTGCAGCCTATTCTATGTTCAATTCCTTTATGCCCTATACTAAATTAGTTATAACTGCAACATATACTGAGTTATTTGAAGTGTTTAGTATTCACTAACAGGAACCACAGATGAAGCAACAATTAAAATGGCTAGCAGATATAAGACAAAGAGAAAAAACAACCTAATTAAGATG